CGTACTTAAAATAATAAGATTATTATCTCGTAATCTTAATAATAAGATTTAAAGTTAGAGTAGGAGGAGTAAATTTCTCTTATTTCTAAAACGCATAGGATGTAATCTAGGTGCATCCATTGAGTGCATCTCTACTATTTTAGAAAGGCATAACTTTTGACCGCTTATCTGCCGTATTCAGGTTAGCAAGACTCGAGAAGAAATGTCCTCACAAGCTAAAGGCCCATGTCTATTGGCAGACACGGCCCATCTCGGGTCCCCACATGAACGCTGTGCTCAGCACCCTACCCCTTTGGCCATTTCCTTGCTTGCGTGCAAACCAAAAGGGCAGTGGAGCCAGGTGATAAAATTCTCTAAAGCTAATAATAAATAATACAATTAAAAACTTCAAATAATCTTCTGTCATGGAATTCAGCTAATAGCACATACATTATTCATTACTCGAATAATTCTTGATTGCGACCCTTAAACTTTCATGCGCGCAAAGAAACAGCAAAATCAAAAAGAAAGGAACATTTTTCACCAGGAAGCCACACTTGGCTTTCATGTTAGCAAAACCTGAATGAACACTACAAATTAGGAAATTACATTTCCACTCGTGTCGCACAGAGATGGACAAATGGAAAATCTAGCAATTGAGAACGTCGAATTAGCGCTTGATTGGGGTGTGCATTCTTTCAACTATTCTATTCACTGCATCACGAGACATTACTAGTGTGTCGTGCAGCAGGATGCTGTAAACATTTAGTCCCTGCAAGCAAATTAATCCAGGAGATAATATATCACTAATTCTTGGTCAAATAACAAGTTACCAGCACTATGAAATAAAACCCAAATTCCAAAACAGCAATTGTTATTGTGATTATCCCCAACTTCTTAGAGTCACCCAAATGAAGCGTTAACAGAAGATAGATGGAAAGATACATGTGAAGAAAATTTATTCAATCAACAATGTTGCTTATCCTCTCTACGTTAACAAGCTCCACCACCTCGGTACACACACTAAAAGTTTAAACAAATTATGAGTATCAAGGACCAAAAGTAGGTCCAGAGGACAAACAAGTTTGCATGGTGGAAAATAATGGCAAGGGATTCGGGGACTTACAATTGAAGGGAGCACGTTGACATAATGCAAATTCTGGGTAGCCAATTTCAACTTTTCATCAATTGGTCCACCATCTACGACCAGGAGTTTCTTTGCGTTTTCCATTTGGTGAACATAGTTAACTACGTTCTTTGTCTTGTGTGAAGAAACCTCCAAATCCTCAAAGACTACAAGCTGCAATTTGTTTGAATAATAAGTTCAATTAGTCTGGTATATGATGAGGGAGAGAGGATCACACTGCCCATACATGTGGATGAGAAGAAAAAAAATGAAAAAGAATATGACTAATCCTTGAGTTTGCAGGTTTCTTGTAGATGTTCCCATGTGAAGAATGTACTTGCCTTCCCTTCTGCAACACGAGCAGAAAGTGCAATCTTGAGCCCCAGCCTCCGGACCTTTTTGTTTAGCTTGATAGCATGACTACGTGGCTTTGGGCCGTGCATAGTAGCACCACCCCTAAACTGTTGACAAACGATAAATATAACCGTTACACTTTATTTTCTTTAGCCCTCTCCAATAGAGATAAAAGCAATCACGAGCGGAACAAACCTCACCTGTGGGCCACGCAATGTCCCATGCCTTGCTCGTCCTGTACCCTTCTGCCGCCAAGGCTTTCTTCCAGTCCCACTAACCTCGCTTATAGTTTTGGTCGAGTGTGTACCCTGCCAAAAATAACACAAAATGTCATAGGTTAATGCCAGCAAAGTCACATTGTAAATGAATAACAATAAGACATATATCATTATTTAAAAGAACAAGAAAAAGGTCACGAAAAGACAGAAAGTGGACTTTCGAACTTCAGTTTGAATTGGACAGACAGGTGATGTGGGAGGGCAAAAGAGAGATGGCATAGAGAGAAAAAAAAAAAAAAAAAAAAANACCAAAAAAAACCAAAAAAAACCAAAAAAAAACCAAAAAAAAGAAAAGGTGATGAAAATCTGGCACCTGCTGACGTTTAGCAAGCTGCCATCTCACGACACGATGGATAATATCTTTCCTGATTGGCACACCAAAAACGTCACCAGCCAATACCATGAAGCCTTTATTTTCATTGTGAAAATTTGTAACAGGAATCACCACGTCCTGATAGAGACCTACAACATTAAAACAGTTATTCTACAGCGATGGTACAAAAAATATTTGTGTGGTTAAAATGGGAACCACCCTCAACTTTATTTTGATTTTAACTTTCTGACTTTCACAACAGGGAGTAGCTAACTGAACAAAATATAAACGTAGACATCTGAGAACAATAAGATCAACCAACCTAAAGCAAATTCAACGGCATGCTACAGATTTAATGGGTTACCATCCCTTCTAACCTGGAATGTACTTTTTGCAGCGGGTACTAACTATGCACATGGGAATAAGGTTATCAACAAGCACACAAGCCTTTGAAATTTTAATACTGTTTCCAACACTTCCACTGTTCCCTATTTTCCCAGACTTGCGTATAAATTTTTCTCCAATTTAAAATTTGAAACAAGGAGCATTAGATCCAATTAAGGTCCGTTATATTAATTTCCAAGAGACTCACATTTAAGACAGAATCCAGGCTAATGTAACTAACAAGTCCCACTAAACTTCTTAGCTAAAATGTCTTTGGCCCAATTCACCTTGCTCAATAACATTTGCAAACTGTCATACAACCCATAGGAACATGGTCCAAGTTATGTATCAGAAGGTAAAATATATTTACCAGTTTGTATTGCTTAAGAAAATAAGAATAAGTATGACAAAGGAACATGAAGTTCAAACTTTTACTTGGCAGTTCCATTACAGAATGTGTTACTCATGACCAACTTGCTTAATATAACAGGAGTAGGTTCCCATGGTTAGTATATAGAGGATACAAAGTCAATAGTAAAATGAGAATGATAATATAGTGCCAAAGACATCATTAGGCAATATTGATTTATTAAATAGTGGAATACACGGTATCATTTATTCAATTAAACTGCTTGTCTTACTAGATCAAAGGTTATGGGGCATTTGAATCAAAGATGACGTTCGTTTCTTTAAAGATGTTTTTTCAATTGCACAAATTTTCAGTTACGACACAAACAAAATGAGCCCAAATTCATAGGACAGAGAGAGTCCTAAATCAAATTATTTTAAGATGTTAAATCTTAAGGACTGTAATTATGCTGGGGGTCGCCCTCATTTTCTTAATTTTCTTTAACTTTCTGAATTTTGCAACACGGAGCTGCTAACAGAAAAGAAAATATTCAGTAGACAAAGTAGACATCTTAAAACAATATAATCTGCCAAGTACCAACCTAAAGCAAACTCAACAGCAGGCTACAGATTTATTCAGTTGCACCAGCTAACTATGCAACATGGGGATAATGTTATCAACATGCACACAGGCCTTTGAAATTTCAAATTTCAATTTTTTTCCAACACTTCCACAATTTCCCGCATTTCTGCGACTTACATATAGATATTTTCCAATTTTAAAATTTGAAATAAAGAGTATTAGACCCAATGCAGGTTCATCAAATTAATTTCCAAGACTCACAGTTAAGTCAGAATCTAGGCCAATGTAACTAACAAGTCCCACGAAAATACTTACCTAAAAAACCTGAAAGGTCGCAGGACTTGAAGAAAATTTTATAGTATGAACAAAATGCACATGCATGATGCAACAGTATAATTCGTGAATGAACGCTGATAGACAGGGTCCAACTTATGTATCAGAAGGCAAAATATAATTACGATTTTGTATTGTTTAAGTAAAAAGAACAACAACAACAGCAACATAGCCTTTTAGTCCCAAACAAGTTGGGGTAGGCAAAAGTAAAAAGAACAAGTATGACAAAATAACAAGCAGTTCAATTTAACTTGGCAGTTAGATTACAGAATGGGTTACTGGTGACCACCTTGCTCAATAACATGTGTGACAAGCAGTAGGTCCCATGGTTAGTATATACAACGTCAAAGTAAGATGAACAAGAAAATATAGTCCCAAAGACATCATTAAGTGCCAGTGATTTATTATTTTCTTAAGGCATAATACACGTTTATCATTTACTCGATAAGACTGTGTGTCTCACTTGATCACAGATTTTGGGGCATTGGAATCAAAGACACCGGTTGTACCTTCTTAGAGTTTTTCCAATTTCAGAAAAAAATCACTTAGGAGTAAGACGCATACAAAACGAACCCAAAATTATAGAACAGAGAAAGTTTAGAATCAAATTATTTATAACAGAATACTAAAAGAGATAAAATCTTCAGCACTGTACCCATTTCCCTGTCAGGAGCCAGCACATGCTTGGACGACAACAAGTGTGACGGAAATGTGCCTTCACTTGAAATGGGGGTCAATACAGAAGAGGAGTACCTTTGGTAAAAACTAAATGTTGCCTGATCCACATAACAAATTAGTTCCGATTCAATTCTAACAGAAAAAGGGAAACCAGAAAGAAGACAATCCAAAAAAAAAACCCTTTTGTAAAAAAAAAAAATAATCATGCAATTTCAAATAATTACCACAAATGAGCATATATGATTCTGCATTTGAGTCTACCTTTTCTAATACTGGAGAACACACCGAACTGGAGTTATCACCATAAGCACAACCACGGAGTCCTGCTTCAAATTTAGAACAAAGTCAGAGATATCACAAAGTTCTTTTTGTCCACAAAATTCAGAAATATGGCACCCTATGATTATTACACAACAAATTTGGCCATTTACTAAAATCAACAAGCTCAGAGAAGCTAAACAACCCCAAAAAAAAAACAGAAGGAAATGGAAACTGGAAACATACCCATCAAACAATGCGACTTTCCAGACAAAGGAAATTGAGAAAATGCCCTATCTTTGGATAGAGAAAATGGTGCAGAGGGTTTATTACATGAACCAATGGCACGCGGTAACCTTCTTGAAAACAACGAGGCCATTGGATATGCTTCAGCCAATCAGAGAGTGTCAAAATAATACTCCACCTAAAATCAATGCAAGTTCACATCCTCAGTCATCAAGATTCAGCTTCACGAAAACCCGAAAGTGTCAAAGAAAAAAGGTCAGACCAGATAGGTAACAGATAAAGCATTTGAATGAATGCAGCATGATATTCAATTCATTGATTAATCAATAGAGGGAAAAATCATCATACAGAAAAAGACCAATAAGGGAATATGGGTAGAAACGCAGAGAGCGGAAGGAGCAAATAGGATGGCAACGACAGGTCGGACCTAGACCTGGCCCGTACACCTGCCCCATGGACCCTGGCCTGTGGTCCAATTGGTCAGATCTGCAACCTGGGCCCATTTGGGGCGGGCCGCACTGGTAGAAATTAGTTCAAATAACACATTCTACGTGACAATTTGTTTATATAACCCTCGACTAAAAAGCAAAAAAAAATAATAATAATAATAAAGGGGATATTACTCTTATACCTTCACTTCAATCTATCTTCTTCAAACTTAAAAAGAAATCGAACTCGTCTACCCTCTCTCGCTACCTTCTCTCCTCTTCGACATTCTCTTTCTACTTCTCGCGCTCGCGTCAGACCCTATGCAGCTCTCTATCGTCAATTTCGGTACGTATTTTTTTGGTTTTTGTCAATTTGATCTTTTATTTAATTTTCATGTTTTTGAGCCTTTGATATTATTGGAGCAAGATTTGATTGTGTTATGTGAATTCATCTTATTTTACTAGTTTTGATGGAATTGAATATGGTAATTGGAGCACTCTATGTGTTTAATGAAATGCTTGTGGAATTATGTTAATGAACTAAAGATAGTAATTGATGCACTCTATGTGTTTGATGAAATGTTGGTTATGCTACTTGTTGTATACTTGGAAGCAATCAAGCTGTTTTCGTTATATTACACTAGAATGAATACACACTCGTTATAGTATCGCAATACTTATAACGAAACTCGAATTATGAGATAAAGATATTTGTTGCCTTTTAGAAATTGGTAGAATCTATTGAAAATGACTTAAATTATAACTATCACGATGAAATATCGTTATAAGATATTATCTAACGAAGATTTAGGTGTATTTAATCGACCGAGATGGAAATATAACCATAACGAATGTACATTCGTTATGTTGAAAATCATAACGAATGTAGTCTCGTTATGGTTATTTTGATGGAATGACGTGTTAACAATTCTATCTTCGTTATATATGACATTAGGACGATAGGTTAAACTCGTTATATTGCCGAAATACTCATAACGAAACTCATTTTGTGAAATAACGATACTTGTTTTCTTATTGGAAATGGATAGATAATGAGGAATTATTATACTAGTAAATTCTGTTGGTTCTATTAGGAACGTCGGCAATGTGCACATTCAAATCTATTGAATAATAAATCCTAACGCAGCAGAATCTATAGTTAGGATTAGGACTTACGGTTTAAAATTTTTGTTGACTCTGAGACGTTTCTGATTTCCGTTGATGGAGATCGTCTGAACACCAAAGTCCAATGGGCAGCTGGACTTGGCATTTCTCGATTCTAATCGAGTTATCAAGGTGTTCCAATCCCTCATCAAGCTCATCGGATCGTCTCGGACCTTCGGTAAGTGAATCGGACTGCTCGGAACTCGCCATCGGGTCAAACCAGGGCTTCTGGACCAAGCTAGACTAGTTCGGGCTGGGTTGGACTAGACTAGGTAGGGTCGGACCATGTCTGGTCTGGTGTGGGCCGAACTGGGCTCGTAGGGTCAGGGTCGCGCACGCTGGGCCGAGGGTTATTGGGCTCGGTCGCGGGTGGCACGCACGCGTACAGGCACATAGGCGCGCAGATGCGCGAGGTTCCTACTCCTGTGCGGACAGGAACGCGGGCGTTCATGCGCGGCATGTCTCCTAGGAAGACGAGGACTAGGCATGCGCGTCATCTCCCCGCGACGGGACTCCTGGGCGCTGTCTGCTTCGCCGGTGTTGTAAATATTTTCCGGAGCAGAATCAAAAGATTCGACACCGGGTTGTGTCTCTCGAGGAAGGTCAGCCGGAATACTAAGCACGTTTATTCAGTCACTCTAAAAGGGAAAATAAAGAAAGTAAATACCTAAACATACTAATTCAGATGATTGGATGGTTTAAATTATCAACTACTACAATCAATTGAATAAAGCAATAAAAGTAGCAAGACAACGAAGAATAATAAGGATTTGAGAAGCTAGGGAGTCGGGGATATCCGTTTCAGTTCGAAATGCAATTAGTGGGCAAGTGATTATTCAGTTAAGTGATTTGAATAACAAACACGTTATAGAACTCATTCTCAATAACTCTTCGGAACAAGAGAACAAACTAGAATGGCAATTACCAAGTCATTAAACTCCTAGGCAATACAGTTACGAACAATCCTAGCTTATGCAAACCTTTTTCGACCGACTCCTCCCCTTTCGGTTCTAAGAGTCGATAAAAATAAGACTAGAAGATGATTAACCGACTAATCAAATAGATTTACCA